AAATATAAGATTTATAAATAAAGATTTTTTTTTTTTTATTTTTATTTATAATATTAAAAAAAAGTTAGAAAATTTTGAAAAAATTTGTCCTATATAAAATTTTGAAAAAAATTTTTTAATATAAAAAAAAAATCAAATTTAAATTAGCAATTTTAAATTTCAAATGAAAAGAAAATGATTGATTTCAATAAAAAAAATACAAAGATTAATGAATTAAAAAAAAATGTCATTATTTTTAAAGGGAAAAACCAAATAAAAAAAAAAACTTATATATAAATTTTGAATTGAAAATTAAATTTAAATATTCTGTATTTAATTAATTTTCGAGAAAAATAATTATTTTGCAAAATTATATAAAAAAAAAAAATTTTTCTAAAAATTTTATTGCCTGATTTTAATTTTGATAAATTTGTTAAATTCAATAAAAAACTGTTTTAAATACATTTCAAAAATAAAAAAAAAGTTTTTTTTTTTTTGCAAAATGATAAATTTTTTTTTGAGTTATTAATATTAACAGAAAAATTTGATTTTCAAAATTTTTTAAAATTTATTTGTTCAAAAAAATTATTATTTTAAAAATTCCAAAAATTTTAAAAAGAATTAAAAAAAAAAAAAAGTTACATTTAATTTTAAATTATTATAATTCAAATATAATGAAATTTCTTTTAAAAAAAAATTTTTTTTTTTGTTTTTTTATTTAATGATTTTTTAATTAAACCACCAAAAATTTATTTTTTCTGGTTAGCTTTTTTTTTTTTTGAATATTTTTGTATAAAATTAAATCCATTTTAAAATCTTTTTAAAATGAAAAAAGAAAAATTGAAAAAAGGCAAAAAAATTAAATTGAAGAAAAAGAAATATTTTTAAATTTTTTTTTTTTCATTAAAATAAAAAATTCAAAGATAGAAATTTTTTAAATTTTTTTGAAAGAATATATAAACTTTTTTCTTTTGATTAATTCAAAAAATTTTTTTGTTAAAAAAAAAAATTTAAAAGAAATTGTTTAAATTTCATCCTTTAAAATTTTTAAATTTTCTTATAAAAAAAAAAATTAGAACCAAAAGAATTTCTTGAAAGAAAAAAAAAAAAAAAAATAAAAAAGGATTTAAAAAAAATTTTTAAATAAAAAAAAAAAATGAAAAAAAAATGGAAAAAAATTTGGAAAAAAAAAAAAAAAAAAAAAATTTAAAGGATTGAAAAAAGGAAAAAAAAGAAAAAAAAATTGAAAATAAAACCATTCCAACAGTTTTTGAAAAAAAAAATTAAAGGTAAAAAAAAAAAAATTGTTTTAAATGATTTTCTCAATGAGAAAAAAAAAAGAAAAAAAAAAAAAAAAAATATAATTTACATAAAAGAATTATTGAATAAAAAAAAAAAAAATAAAAAAAAATTAACGAAAAAAAAAAAATTTGAATCTAAAAAATTTTTAAAAAGAAAAAAAAAATTTAAATAATGAAAATATAAAAAGAAAATGAAAAAAAAATAAAAAGAAAATGAAACAAAAGAAAATAAAAATCAATTTAAAAAAAAACTTTTAAAAAAAAAAAATTTTTCCAAAAATTATTAAAAAAAGAAGAAAAAAAAAGAAATAAATTAAAAAAAAGAATTTTAATAAAATGAAAAAAAATGTGAATATTTTTTTTAAAATTCCATTTGAAATTAAAAAAAATTTCAAATTTGTTTTTCAAAAAAAAAAAAAAAAAAAAGATAATTAAATTAATTTGAAAAAAAAAAAATAAAAAAAAAATCCTTTTTAAAAAAAAAAAAGAAAGATTTTTTTTCCATTATAAAAAGAAAAAAACAAATTCTTAATTTAAAAAAAAATATGTTTTGAAAAAAAAAAGATAAAAATGATACAAAAATAAAGAAAAAAAAAGAAAAAAGATAAGTAGAAAATGAAAAATTGAAAAAAATACAAATGAAAAAAAATAAAGAAAAAGATATATAGTAATCTATAAATTTAAATAAAAAAATAAAAATGAAAAAATTAATGTTAATTTTTTTGAAAAAAAATAAAAAGAAAAAAAGAAAATAAATTCAAAAAAGAAAGAAAAAAGAAAAAAAAAAATTATGAAATAAAGAAAAAAATTGAAAAAAAGAAAAAAAAAAAAAAAATAAAAATGAAAAAAAAAAAAAAAACAAAAAAAAAAAAAAAAAACAAAAAAGAAACAAAATGAAAAAAAAGAAAAAAGAAAAAATCAAAAAAAAAAAAGAAAAAAAAGAAAAAAAGAAAAGATTAGAAATAAATATCATAAATAAGAAAAAAAAAAGAAAAAAAAATATAAATTTCAGAAAAAAAAAAGAAAGGAAAAAAAAAAGAAAAAATTTAGAAATTTTTTAAAAAAAGAAAATTGTTAGAAAAAAAGAAAGAAAACAAAAAAAAAAGAAAAAAAGAAAGAAACAGAAAGAAAGAAAGAAAAAAAAATTGGAATAAAAAAATTTTTTTAAAATAAAAAAATAAATTTAAGGATTTTAAAAACAAATTAATGTGAATGAAAAAAATATTTTCTACAAGAAAAAACATTATAATAAATGAAAAATTTTAAAAAAAGAAAAAGAAATAAGAAATTAATGAGAAAAAGGTGATGTTTAAGAAAAGAAAAAAAAAAAGAAAAGGTGCAGAAAGAAAAAAGAAAGAAAACAAAAAAATCCATTAAGAAAAAGTGAGAAAATATTTGTGCAAATCCTCCATTAATATAAAAAAAAAAAAAGTAAAGAAAAAAAGCCCAAAGAAAATTGAAAAAAAGAAAAAAAAGAAAAAAGAAAGAAAATTTTGCAAAAAAAAAAAATTTGAATGTTTTTGGTCGGAAAAATCTGGAAATAAAAAAAAAAATAAAGAAAGAAAGAAAAAAAGAATCCCAAAAAGACAAAAAAAAATGGCAGGTTTTAATTTAAAAATAAGAAATTAAAATGATAAATTAAAATAAGAAAAGAAAAATGGATTATTGAATGAAGAAAAAAGAAAGAAAAGATGCAATAAAAAATAAAAAAAAAAATTAAAATGAAAAATCATGTGAATGGAACCAAAAAAGAAATTAAAAAATGGTTAAGAAGGCAAAAAAATAAAAGATAGATATATATAAAAATGTTTTCCAAAGAACAAGATAAAAGAAAGAAAGAAAATAAAAAAGAAAAAAAAAAAAAGAAAGAAATCGCTGGTTTACTTAGAAATTTACAAACAAAACTGGTTTTAATTCAAAATAAGATTTCGAAAGAAAGAAAGAAAGAAAGAAAAAAAAAGAAAAAATTAAGAAATAAATGAAACAAAAAAAAAGAAAGAATGTAAAAAATAGTGGAATTTTTTTTTGGAATGAAGAAATCGAAAGAAAAAAAGAAAGAAAAAAAAAAAGAAATAAAGAAAGATTAGAAAAAATGAAAAAAAAAAAGAAAAGATAGAGTTTTTATTTTAAAATATTGCATTTAATTCTTCGAAGAAAAAGTTATATAAGAAAGAAAGAAAAGAAAAAATAAATGAAAGAACAAAAGAAAAAAGAAAGAAAACAATAGAAATAAGTTTGAAAATTTTTTTTTTTTAAAAAATAAAGAAGAAAGAAAGAAAAGAAAGAAAGAAAAATTTCAAGAAATTTGCTGAAAAGAAAAAATAATGAATTTTTAACTAAAACTGGCTTAAACTCTAGAAATGAAAGATTTTAAAGAAAGAAAGAAAAGAAAAAAAGAAAGAAAAAAAAGAAATTTTGAAGAAAAAAAAAAAGAAAAAGATATAGACATATGTAAAGCTGGCTATTTTATGAGAAACGAAATGAAAGAAAAAAGAAAGAAAGAAAGAAAAGAAGAAAAAAATAAAGAAAAAAAAAAAAGAAAGAAAGAAAGAGGAAAAAATATAGACAATCTAAAACTGGCTGGTTTTCGTGAGAAACAAGATGTCGAAAAAAAAGAAAGAAAAGAAATAAAAGAAAGAAAGAAAAAAAAAAAAAAAGAAAAAAGGTCCAAGATATAGACATATGTAAAAATGGCTGGTTTAAGAAAGATGAAGAAAAAAAAGAAAGAAAGAAAGAAAGAAAGAAAAAAAGAAAGCCGAAGAAAGAAAAAAAAAGATATAGAAATATGTAAAGCTGGCTGGTTTTAAAAAACGAAATGTCGAAAAAAAAGAAAAAAGAAAAAAGAAATAAAGAAAATTAAAAAAAGAAAGAAATTTTCCCTTTGCATTTAAAGAAAATTTAGTCGAAAAGAAAGAAAGAAATTAAGAAAGAAAAAAATAATAAAGAATGAAAAAAAAGCTTGTTTGGATTCATGAGAAAGATAAAATAAAGAAAGAAAAAGAAAAAAGAAAGAAAAAAAAAAAAAAAAAGAAAGAAAGAATTATTTTGAAGATAGAAAGAAATTTGTAAACTGAAAAGCAAAAAAGAAAGAATTTTTTTAAATGAATTTGTTTTTAAAGTTTCAAGAAAGAAATTTCTAGAAAGAAAGAAAAAAAAAAGAAGAAAAAAAAAAAGGAAAAAAAAAGATAAAGACAAAAAAATTTTTTTCAACTAAATTTTATGAGAAACGAAAAGATGTGATTGAAAAAAAAAGAAAGAAATTGCTAAGAAAAATGAAAAAAAGAAAGAAAAAAGAAAATCTTATTAATGATAAAGACATAAGATATAAGAAAGGCTGGTATTAAAAGAAAAAAGGATAAAATGAAAGAAAGAAAGAAAGAAAATAAAGAAAGAAAGAAAAAAAAAAGAAAGAAAGATGAGAATTGTAAAGAAAGAAATTAGGGAAATTTTTTTTTGAAAAAATAAAGAAAGAAAGAAAGAAAATGAAAAAAAGAAAAAAAAAGAAAAAAAAGAAAGTAAACAAAAGAAAAAAAATATGAATAAGAAGAAAAAAAAAAAAAAATCCATATAAAGAAAAAAGAAAGAAAGAAAGAAAAGAAAGAAAAAAAAAAAAGAAAAGAAAGAAAAAGAAAGAAAAAATCAATGAATATATAAATAGCTGGTTTTAATGAAACTAAGAAATTCAAAAAATAAAGAAAGAAAAAAAAATAAAGAAAATTTTCAAAAAAGAAAGGAAGAAAGAAAAAAAAAGAAAAAAAGATTATTAATTATAAAAAAAATGTCAGATATGAGAAAAATGTCAAAAAAGAAAGAAAAGAAAAAGAAAGAAAAAAAGAAAAAAAAAGAAAAGAAAAAAATATAGACATAAAATTTCTGAAAGGCGAATGAGAAATCTTTTTGTGCAAAAAGAAAGAAATAAAAGAAAGAAAGAAAAGAAAGAAAGAAAAAAAAGAAAGAAAGAAAAAATTTGAAAAAAAGATATAGAATGTAAAACTGGCTTTTATTTGAAACTGAAGAAACCGAAAAAAGAAAGAAAGAAAATTCTCTTGAAAAGAAAATGAAGAAAGAAAAGAAAAATTATTCCAAATAAAAGAATATTAAAGTGAAAAAAAAGAGAAATAAGAAAAAGAAAAAAACTAGAAAAAAAAGAAAAGAAAAAGAAAAGAAAGAAAGAATTGAAAAAACATATGTAAAGAAAGGTTTTATGAAATAAAAATCTGTCGAAAGAAAGAAATAGAAAGAAAGAAAGAAAAGAAAAAAAAAGAAAAAAGAAAGAAAAAGAAAGAAAAAAAAGAAAAAATATTTGGTTGGGCTGGTTTTTGAGAAAAAAAGAAAGAAGAAAAAAAAGAAAGAAAAAAAAAAAAAGAAAAAAAGAAAGAAAGAAAATAAAGAAAAAAGAAGAAAATAAAAAATAAAAAAAAAAAAAAAAATTATGGGAATCAAAAAAATTTGAAAGAAAGAAAGAAAAATCTTCAAAAAGAAAATAAAAAAAAAAAAAAGAAAGAAAAAAAAAGATGTCAAAAAGAAAAAAAAAAGAAAAAAGATAACTTTTAAAGAAAAAAAAGAAAGTTTGAAAATTTTAAATGACCGAAAGAAAAAAGAAAGAAAGAAAGAAAAAAAAAAAGAAATGAAAAATGTAAAATGAAAGGTTTTAAAAAAACGAAGATATCGAAAGTTATTTAAAGAAAAAGAAAGAAAAATGAAAAAAAGAAAAAAGAAAGAAAGAAAGAAAGAAAAAAAAAGAAAGAAAGAAAAATTAAAGAAAGAAAGAAAGAAAAGAAAAAAGATATGAGAATATGTAAAAGAAAATGGAACCGGTGAGAAAAAGATGTCAAAAAGAAGAAAATTGAAAAAAAAAGAAAGAAAAGAAAGAAAAAAGAAAAAAAGAAAAAAAACATAAAGAAAAAATGAAAACATTTAAGAAACGAAAAAGAAAGAAAGAAAAAAAGAAAGAAAAAAAAGAAAGAAAAAAAAAAAAAGAAAAAGAAAAACTAAAATGTATTTTTGCAGAAAAAGAAAGAAAAAGAAAAAGAAAAGAAAAGAAAAAAACGTTCCATAAAAAAAAAAAAAAGAAAGTCGAAAAAAGAAAGAAAAGAAAAAAAACCTTTTCCTAAAAAAGAAATAAAAGAAGAAAGAAAAAAAAAAAAAAAAAAGAAAAAGAAATGTAAAACTAAAAAAAAGAAAGAAAAAGAAAGAAAAGAAAAAAAGAAAAAAAGAAAAAAAGAAAAGAAAAAAGATATGAAAGAAAATGGAAGAAAAAGATGGAAAAGAAGAAAGAAAGAAAGAAAGAAAAAAGAAAAAAAGAAAGAAGAAAGAAAAAAAGTAAAAGACTGAAAAGCAAGATAAATTTAGGAGATAAATTGTTAAAAAACTGGTTTTGTGAAAGAAAGAAAGAAAGAAAGAAAAGAAAGAAAGAAAGAAAAGAAAAGAAAAAAAGAAAGAAAGAAAAGATATAACATATAAGAAAGACTGGTTGGTTTTTAAGGAGAAACGAAGATGTCGAAAAAAAGAAAGAAAAAAGAAAGAAAAGAAAAAAAAGAAAGAAAGAAAGAAAGAAAAAAATATAGAAATAAAAAATTTTTGGAAAATTTAATACGAAAATGTCGAAAAAAAAAGAAAGAAAAAGAAAGAAATAAAAAAAAAATGAGAAAAAAGAAAGAAAAAAAAAAAAAGAAAGAAAGAATGAAAAAAAAAATATAAAACATATGCAAAACTGGCTGGTTTATGAAACGAAGAAAAGAAAAAGAAAGAAAGAAAAAAGAAAGAAAAGAAAAAAAGAAAGAAAAGAAAGAAAGAAAAGAAAAAAAAGATATAGACAATGTAAAACTGGCTGGTTTTATGAGATACGAAGATGTCGAAAAAAATTGAAGAAAGAAAGAAAAGAAAGAAAAAAGAAAGAAAAGAAAAAAAGAAAAAGAGAGATAGAAATGAAAAAATGGTTTTATGAGAAAAAGATTGAGGTTGTAGAAATAACCTTTCTGTGAAAGAAAGAAATGAAAGAAAGAAAAACTTGAGAAAAGAAAGAAAGAAAGAAAAGAAAGAAAAGATATAGACATATGTAAAGCTGGCTGGTTTTAGGAGAAAAATAATGTAAAAAAGAAAGAAAATAAGAAAGAAAGAAAGAAAGAAAAAAGAAAGAAAGAAAGAAAGAAAAAGATATAGACATATGTAAAAAGGCTGGTTTTTGAGAAACGAAAATGTCAAAAAAAAAGAAAAGAAAGAAAGAAAGAAAGAAAGAAAAGAAAGAAAGAAAGAAAGAAAGAAAGAAAAGAAATATAAAGAAAGAAAATCCAAAGCAGGTTGTCAAAGATTATTAGAAGGAAATTGGAGAAGAGAAAGAAAGAAAGAAAGAAAGAAGAGAAAGAAAGAAAGAAAGAAAAGAAAGAAAATTTTATGAAAAAAAGGTAAGAAAAGAAAGGGGAAAGAAAGGAGAATTCAGACTTAAATTAAAGAAAATAAAGGTGAAAGAAAGAAATAAAAGAAAGAAAAGAAAGAAAGAAAAAAAGATAAAGACAAAGAAAAACTGAAATAAAAAAAGAAAGAAAGAGAAATAAAAAAAAAAGAAAGAAAGAAAGATTAAAAGAAAGAAAAAAAGAAAAAAGAAAGAAAGAAAGAAAGAAAAAAAAGATATAGATATGTTTGGCTGGTTTTAATAAAAGATAATTAGATGTTAAAAGAAAGAAAGAAAGAAAGAAAGAAAGAAAAAATAATAGATAGAAAGAAAGAAAAGAAAGAAAAGATTAGAAATAATGTAAACTGGCTGGTTTTATGAAAAAAGATAAAAGAAAGAAAAAGAAAAGAAGTTGAAAGAAAGAAAGAAAGAAAGAAAGGAAAGAAAAAAAAATATAGAAATATGTAAAAAAATATGGTTTTAACAGAAAAAAGATGTAGAAAGAAAGAAAAAAGAAAGAAAGAAAGAAAGAAAAGAAAGAAAAAGAAAAAGAAAAAAAAAGATATAGAAATAGAACTGGCTGGTTTTATGAGAAAAAAAGAAAAAAGAAAAGAAAGAAAGAAAGAAAATAAAGAAAATTTTTAAAAATTTTAAAAAATTATGAGAAACGAAAGATGTCGAAAGAAAGAAAGAAAGAAAGAAAGAAAAGAAAGAAAGAAAAAGAAAGAAAGAAAGAAAAATTAAGATATAGACAGATGTAAAGCTGGCTGGTTTTGTGAGAACAATGAAGTTGAAAAAAAAAAAAAAAAAAGAAAGAAAGAAAAAAAGAAAAGAAAAGAAAGAGAAAGAAAGAAAAGAAATATTTTTTAAGAAATAAATGGTTATATAAAAGAAACAGAAGATTGAAAAAGAAAAGAAAAAAAGAACAAAAGAAAGAAAGAAAGAAAGAAAAGAAAGAAAGAAAAAAAAGAAAGAAAAAAGATATAGACATAAAAAAAAAGAAAGTTTTTTAAAAGAAAAAAGAAGATGTCAGAAAGAAATAAAGAAAAGAAAGAAAAGAAAAAAGAAATAAAGAAAGAAAAGAAAAAAGAAAGAAAGAAAAGAAAAAAAATAAAAAAGAAAAAGAAAAAAGAAAAAAAAAAAGAAAAGAAAGAAAGAAATGTAAAAAAAGAAAGAAAATGAAGAAACGAGGATGTCGAAAAAAAAGAAAGAAAGAAAGAAAAGAAAGAAAGAAAGAAAAAGAAAGAAAAAAAATATAAACAAATGAAAAAGAAAAGGTTTAAAAAACAGAAGAAAGATGAAAGAAAGAAAGAAAGAAAAAAAAAAGAAAAGAAAGAAAGAAAGAAAGAAAAGATAAAAACATGGCTGTTTTATGAGAAACGAAGATGTGAGATAAAAAGAAAGAAAAAAAGAAAGAAAGAAAGAAAATGAAAAGAAAGAAGAAAGAAAAGAAAAGATATAGACATATTCTAAAACTGGCTGGTTTTATATAGAAACGAAGATGTCGAAAGAAACAAAAAAAGAAAGAAAGAAAAAAAAGAAAAAAAAAGAAAAAAGGAAGAAAGAAAGAAAGAAAAAAAGATATTGACATATAAAAAAGGAAAGTTTTAAGAAACGAAATGTAGAAATAAATAAAGAAAGAAAGAAAAAAAGAAAGAAAGAAAAAAGAAAGAAAAAACTGAAAAAAAAGATATTTGAGATATGTAAATGTCAGAAAGAAATAAATAAAGAAAGAAAGAAAGAAAGAAAAAATTCCGCAAAAGAAAAGAAAGAAAGAAAGAAAAAAATAACATATGTAAAAAAAACGGAGATACGAAGATGTAAGAAAAAAAGAAAAAAATTTAGAAAAAAAAATAAAGAAAGAAAGAAAGAAAGAAAGAAAGAAAAGATATAGACATATGTAAAACTGGCTGGTTTTATGAGAAACGAAGATGTCGAAAGAAAGAAAGAAAGAAAGAAAGAAAGAAAGAAAGAAAAAAAAGAAAAGAAAAGAAAAGAAAGAGAAAAGAAAAGATGACATATGTAAATGGCTGGTTTTAAAACGATACGAAGATGTAAAAAGAAAGAAAGAAAGAAAGAAAGAAAGAAAGAAAGAAAGAAAGAAAAGATATAGACATATGTAAAGCTGGCTGGTTTTATGAGATACGAAGATGTCGAAAAAAGAAAGAAAGAAAGAAAGAAAGAAAGAAAGAAAGAAAGAAAGAAAGAAAGAAAAAGATATAGACATATGTAAAACTGGCTGGTTTTATGAGAAACGAAGATGTCGAAAGAAAGAAAGAAAGAAAGAAAGAAAGAAAGAAAGAAAGAAAGGAAGAAAGAAAGAAAAAGATATAGACATATGTAAAGCTGGCTGGTTTTATGAGATACGAAGATGTAGAAAGAAAAAGAAAGAAAGAAAGAAAGAAAGAAAGAAAGAAAGAAAGAAAAAGATATAGACATATGTAAAAAGATGGCTGGTTTTAATTCGAAGAAACGTAGATGTCGACAAAAGAAAAAAAAGAAAAAAAAAAAAAGAAAGAAAAAAAGAAAGAAAGAAAGAAAGAAAAGATATAGACATATATAAAGCTGTATGGTTTTATGAGATAAGAAAGAAAGAAAGAAAAAGAAAGAAAGAAAGAAAAAGAAAGAAAGAAAGAAAGAAAGAAAGAAAGAAAAGATATAGACATATGTAAAGCTGGCTGGTTTTATGAGATACGAAGATGTCGAAAGAAAGAAAGAAAGAAAGAAAGAAAGAAAGAAAGAAAGAAAGAAAGAAAAATATATAGACATATGTAAAGCTGGCTGGTTTTATGAGATACGAAGATGTAGAAAGAAAGAATAAAAGAAAGAAAGAAAGAAAGAAAGAAGGAAAGAAAGAAAGAAAGAAAAAGATATAGCCATATGTAAAACTGGCTGGTTTTATGAGAAACGAAGAAGTCGAAAGAAAGAAAGCAAACAAGAAAGAAAGAAAGAAATAAAGATATAGACAATAAAAAACTGGCTGGTTTTATGAGAAATGCATATGCTGCAAGAAAGAAAGAAAGAAAGAAAGAAAGGATGGAAGGAAGAAAGAAAACGACATAGACGTATATAAAACGAAGATGTCAAAAGAAAGAAAAAGAAAGAAAGAAAGAAAGAAAGAAGAAAGAAAGATAAATATGAAAGAATGAAAGAAAAGAAGAGAATTAAGTTGAAATTTTTCTAAAAACAAAAGAAAATTATCCAGATAGAAAGAATAACGAATGCAAGAATGGAGTCATTATATTTTAGAAGTCGAACGAGCATTAGGGAAAAGCGGCCAAGAAACAAGATGCAGCATCTCCTACCCATACGTCAAAAATATTTTAGTTTCTCTTTTTCTTTGCCTTTTCTCATTTCTGAAAATGCATTAAATGACAAATTCCTTTGACATCACTCTAAAAAAATCATGAATAAACAAATAAAAATCACTGAAATATTTCCGTAGAGAAAAGAGACCAGAAGCCTTTAAAATGGCGCCGAAACGGGAAAGTCTGTACAGTAATTGTGCGCAGTGGCAGTAAATCTGAATTTGTGTATTTTTAAGTCTCTTGTTTTATACATTTAAAAGTAAGTAAAATTTAGTTCGTCGCTGCGTAAAAAAGTTTTAATATCTTAAGTGTTTCTACGAATATATTTAAGTATTTGAAAGAAAATATTGATTTCTGTAGATTACCTCCATATCCCCATTCGCACTATCATTTTTTTTCATAATATATATATATATATATATATATATATATATATATATATATATATATATTTATAAAGTGTATTAATATTGACCGAATATTTTGCATGGCCGTGAGATTTCGGCTATTCTTTCAACCATCATCAAGGATTTTTTCTTTAACAGAATGTGAAGAAGTTTATGTATGTATCTGGAGGTATGGTAGTGTTTTTTTTTTCAGATACGGTCGGTATATTGTGATCATGTTCATAGTTGATGGTAATGAATTTTTTGCTTTTTCTTATTTTAATTATAAATGTTTCAAACATTTTTATTCTATTCTACATGTGGATAAGCGTATTATAGTTGCATTTTCTATTCATATGATGCGGGTAGCGTCCTAATTGGTATATAGTCAGAGAGATGAGTCCTAATTGATATTTATTCAGAGAGATGAGTCCTAATTGATATATATTCAAAGGGTTGAGTCCTAATTGGTATATATTCAGAGAGATGAGTCCTAATTGATGTATAGTCAGAGAGATGAGTCCTAATTGATATATTTGCAAAGAGATGAGTCCAAATTGATATTTATTCAAAGAGATGAATCCTAATTGATACATAGTCAGAGAGATGAGTCCTAATTGATGTATAGTCAGAGAGATGAGTCCTAATTGATATTTATTCAGAGAGATGAGTCCTAATTGATATATATTCAAAGGGTTGAGTCCTAATTGGTATATATTCAGAGAGATGAGTCCTAATTGATGTATAGTCAGAGAGATGAGTCCTAATTGATATTTATTCAGAGAGATGAGTCCTAATTGATATATATTCAAAGGGTTGAGTCCTAATTGGTATATATTCAGAGAGATGAGTCCTTCTAATTGATGTATAGTCAGAGAGATGAGTCCTAATTGATATTTATTCAGAGAGATGAGTCCTAATTGATATATATTCAAAGGGTTGAGTCCTAATTGGTATATATTCAGAGAGATGAGTCCTAATTGATGTATAGTCAGAGAGATGAGTCCTAATTGATATATAGTCAGAGAGATGTAGCCTGAGTATTCTCAATAAGAATGGATAAAGAATATATGAATATATGAACGTCAAAACATTCAGAATATATTTTACAAAATTTATGTCGAGAAATGGAAAAAAAAAACCTTATACGAATACAACAAAAATAAAATAAAAATCACAACCTTAAACGTCGTCTTTAAGGAAACTTGTATAAAAGATGGATTGCTGCCCAAATACATAAATGAATACAGGATGCGGTAGGTAAATTGTCGGCATTTTATATATTTAATTTCAATTATGCGCATTATTTTTTTATTTTGTCGACTGCAACTTATGATAGGATCAGTTGGGTATCGTCTGTGAGAAAAAGAGCACAATGACGCAATTCACTCGACCAGAAATTTGTAAATGACATGCTGTACTACTTGGCATTTACTCCATGTCATATGGCGTAGCCGCCTTTGTAGAGCCGAAACAAACAAGTATTATGATGTACACGTCCCTAATTTTTTGAAAATTTTAATAAATATATATATATATATATATATATATATATATATATATAGAGAGAGAGAGACTGCTTAGAGAGAGATCTGGAGAGAAGGGTAACCTTTAAAACAGTGGCTGCTGCAGAACAATGCATTGCTCTTCAAGTACGATGAAGAAGTTCTCCTGGATACCGGCGTATTTCGTATAGAAAACGCTAAAGTTTCCCTTTCTCTCTGCCCTTTAAGAGTTTAAAAGTAGGATCTCTGACTGATGGAAAATCGGTCAAGTTTACATCCCCGCTTAAAGCAATCGAACGTCTAGCCACACCGAAGAAATGTGATACAAAGAAATAGTCTGTCTCTGGATGAATATATATATATTCTATATATATATATATATATATATATATATATATATATATATATGTGTGTGTGTGTGTGTGTGTGTGTGTGTGTGTGTGTGTGTGCGTCGACCCCCAGACCGCTGCTCCAAACGTGACGTCCGCCTGTCTGCGTCAGTCGTGCTATCCTGTCTTGTGACGACTAACTGGCTTGGTATTGGTCGCGCACCCAAATGTAACGTTCTAATCGCTTGCGATTTCGGATGGGAATCTGGTTAGATTCGATATCAGCCTCGTCGTTCCCAACTCGCCTCCAACGTCTGGTTACCGAAGTAACTGCTTTGATTTCCAGTCTACCTACCCACGTTGTGAATTGATCTTAGGCAGACGAAATCAATCAGTCGTCGGGGCCGTAATGCAAGTCAAGTTCGAATAAGGGCGATATCGCACAAATAGATGTAACAGAAAATAAAATAACAACTCGAAAATTTCAAATGTGTTAAAAAAGGATAACAATATTTTCTATCTGGTTTCTGGATACAGGACTGCGTCTATTTCCCAACCCGCTATATGGATACGTGACACGTTGTTTTTGTTAGGCGATTCTTAACATCTTAAGTTGTCTGTTCTTTATTTGTCAATAATTAAATCAATCACGAAGGCAAAAAAGGTTTTAAAAAAAGAAAGTGCTAGAAACATGAAATTCTGTCGAAAAAAATCGCACAGATGCAGGTTTAAAGCCCAAAGAAAAAACCCCGACACGAGTAAACAACTAACTGAAAGATACAACCGTTTTTGTTCGTGTTTTCTTAAATATCCCCTCCCCTTTTAGTCGTTTGAATAAATCATTAACACCCCCCTCCCGCTGTTGTGTTTTTTTCTTGTTTTTCCATTCTTTTTCTTTGGTCACGTGATATGATTTTGATTATCTCCTATAAATATGCCGTTTATCTTGCCTCTTCATCCAGCTTTCCCTGACGATCCGCTTAGGTGAAACCTGGGTAGGTTTGTCTAGGTCACTAGGTCTATCTATCTATCTATCTATCTATCTATATATATATAATATATGTTTGTGTGTGTGTGTGTGTGTGTGTGAGGTAAAATTTTCTTAACCGTTTACCTGTTTATTTCTCATTTGAATTTTATTTAAAGGGGCAAATGTAGTTGGATTTTTTTTTTTTCTTAAAGAAGAAACAAATAAAAGGTCTATTGTGATTCAAAACAGGATTTTTTTATTTTTAAAATAAAAAGCAAAAAAAAAAAAAAAATATATTAAATATATATAATATAAATAATATTCTAATGATTATGTGAGTTTATATGTGTGAGTTCGTTTGATATATATATATATATAAATATATATATATATTTATATATATATATATGTATGTGTGTGTGTGTGAAAAGTTCAATTCATTTAAATTTTCTTTTTTCTGATCTATGTGGTATTTTTCCTAAATAAATAATTTGCCTAATTTAATTATTTTCCGATCACAAGCTATTTTTATTCATGCTTAGACGAAATTTTCCGTGTTTTATTTTTGTTAATATATTTACTAATGATTATCATTTAAAATATTTATAATATATTAATATATATATATATATATATATATATATATATATATATATATATATGTATATATATATATATATATATATATATATATATATTTTATATATTATATATGTAACTTTTGAGAAAGACGCTCCAACATTTATTAAACAATATTTTAATTTCATCTACAACAAATTGTTAGCAGGAAATTTTATCAAAGATAGAGTATATAATATTATACAATGAATATTTCGGTCCTGGCTTGAACGAAAAGATGTCTTCGCTTTCTCAAGATTCTGTGAGTAGCGAAAATATTACTGATCCCTAAACGTGATTATTGTTGCACACACACATAAATAACTCACACACACACAAATTTTTTTTCTAAATGAGTGTTCAAATTAATATATATATATATATTAATTTTATATTTATATATATATTTATATAATAAATCAATTAAACTTTTCAAGATGAAAGCTGAATCGGTGATAAAACCATATTTAGTTTTAGATTTGAGTTGACATTTAAAAGTGTGTATAACTTTTTTTTGGCGTAACATCTTTTTCATTGTTAATAAATATATATATATATTTATATTTATATATTTATATAGTTGAAATATCGATATGAAAAGAACTTAAAGATAGTTATTTCAATAGATGGAACGAGATAACCATGAACAGAGA